AAATCAATTGTGATGTAAAAACCGTAACTGTAGTTTTGCTTTTTAAAGAGAGATAAAACTGATAAATAACCATCCAAAGGTCAAAATAGCAACTTTCACATAATTGTAGGTAGGATAGTATATGTGTATGTGAAAGGCAAAGAAATCACAGACGCATGTAGGCTTACACTGGGGGTAAAAAAAAAAAAGCGCCTCTATTAAATCATTAGGGAAACATTTATTCAGTAAAGTAAAAATGCATTAAAATATTTTATGGTTGGGATTATAATATTTACAGAGATGTAATCAAATAAAGGCCAAAATGTAGTTACTTAACAGAGAGCCTTGTCTGTACCACTGACTAGCCATGACAGTGGTTTGAATTCCTCATACATTTCTTCCCCTGTCTTAACTTCCATTCTCCAAGCAAGCCCCGCTACCAAAGGCTGAAGATTCTGTACATTTCCTACACTGAAATACATGACGGTAAATTTTTTGCATAGCAGAAACGAGGCGTGTTCAGTGTCACATCTCTCAGCTTGGAGAAAAATCCCTAAGAACTGTATCTCGAATGCCCAGTAGAGCCCTTCTTACATGTAATATTTTTGAATACGCAGGATCTTATTTCCTGTGACATGCAGAAAAGATGAGGAAAAATATGGGAAGATGAAAGAAATCACATCAATCAGCTGCGTGAGAAAGGAAGATGCCTTCTCTTTATATGAACTCTCATTGTTTCCCAGGAACACAGCATAAAAAGATAACACACTTCCTTGCATTTTGTAAAAGGCTCTTGACATAATTTGTGACTTATTAACTACTGATGCTAAACTCGCCCCGCACATAAAGCACCAGACACACTTCCCTCTTTCTTAACATTTAACAGTGAGGAGAATTAAAGTATTTTTCATGCAATGCTTATCTAATATTAAACTTTACATTTGCTTAACAGAGCACAATCTTCACAATAACAGGGTATATTGCCAAAGGCAGCATGCAGACTTTTTGGAATTGCTCCCATCTCTTTCGGTTCACCTGTAAAAACATCTACGTGCTCCCTAGGACTGCATCTGTGGCTAGTTTTAAAGAATGACTATCCATGCAAATAGGCATAATTTCAGCATGAAATAATCTGTAAAATCAAGAGAGGAGTCAGTGCTTAGTTTGCAAGCAGGATGAAAAAAAAGAAAGAGAAGCTTTTAATATTTAGAAGCATTATGTTTATTCTGCAGCCTTTGCCCACGTATTGTGGATGTACTAAAAGAATTTGGTGTCAGAGACAGTTATGCAAGGGACCTGATGTTTGTTTACATTACTGGCTCCTTGCATACAGGAAAGCAAAGAGTGATAAAAACCAAAAAAACACCACCAAAAAAGTGTTGTGAATTCAGACGGGAAATCCAGAGCCTCACACTGTTATCAGGTCGCTGTCTTCAAAGATCACTCCTTAGCGAGAAGCACGTTAAGCAAGTGAAGTTTGGCTACCTCACGATCAAATAAATATCAAATAAAATCAAAACCAGCAGAGTTCTGTCGCATGGGCCCAATCCTACCACCTGCACATCAGGTAGCATCCCACCCTGCAAGCAACTCCCCTGTGGTCCAGGGTACCAAAATCATGACAGGTCCCTGTGGTAGGATCAGGCCCTGCTTGGAAGTATGTCTTGCAAAAGACCATTTCCTGCTTTCTCTCAGTTAATGCAAATGGAGTTTTTCAGGGGGCAGAATCAAGCTCTTTCTTACAATTAGGTCTTCATCTAAACAAAAAACCTGAGGAGGTGGGATTTCAGAAGGCTTGGTTTTGCAAATAAATGGCCAAGTCCTAAAGGGGTGGAAGGGGGTGACTACCACAGGAGTTTTTAAGCAGGTGACACCGGCGCAGAAAAAAACGGGGTCAAGGTTGACCTCTTAGTCTAGTGGTGTGCATTTGAAAGCGATACAAACTAATTGCAAGATAACCAAAAGCGCTCTAGCTCATTGCACGTAAGATATTCTAAAGGTATTCTCCAGAAAGACAAGACTTGCCAATACGGAAAAGGAAAAAAAAAAAAAAGGGAAAAAACCCAACAGGCCAACACCATCAAAAAACCTTCACACTTTTCCTTCCTTTTCTGTAGTCAAGCTATGCTTGATTGAGATCCAGCAAAAAGTTCCCAGACTCATACCGAAAACCTTATGTCAGGTTTCGGGTTTTGCACATTTCCCAGCAAATTTGAGGTGCCTGACCACTGTTTGCCTCTCTCTTGCCCAATCCCAACCAAGGACACGCATGGGGAGGGCTTGCTGTACCCTTGAGTCAGCAGCTCAGGAAATAGGCTGTCCTGTGCCAGGTTGGAAGGTCATTGCCACGCATCCTTCCTCCCGTGTCCATTTTCCTCTCCCTGATCCCCTGTACCAGCAGCTGCTCTCCAGCCCATTCTTGCCACCACATGAGGTGCTCCGGACGGATGCGCCCTCCTTCCCTCGCTGGAAGCTGAAGTCATCGGAGTTATCATACACTTAACCTGGGTATTAAGCAATGTCTCCCATTTGCCCTGGTGCTATCCCAAGCCTACAGACTGCCAGCTTTAAGGCTTAAATACGAGAAATAGTTCTACTTTAGCCTAACAAAACAGACAGGGTATTGAATGGCCAGTTAATATTTTGGTCTCGGAGGACCAAAACCAATTCACACCTCAAGGAAAGTGGGATGGCACGTACAGCGGGATGCAGAATCCCAGCCATGACAGGCAGACTTTGAGACTGATTAGATTAGAACTGATTAAATAAGCAACTCTTGGGGGGTATAAAAATAAATAATTAGGAAGTGTGTATCCTTCACATAGTACCAGTACTTTGGCTGCACATTGTCTCAAACCTGTATTTCATACATCTAATATCTCTGTACAACTACGCAGACATACATAGCTTAGGCTGTCAAGATCTATGCAGAAATCTTCAGAAGCACCGTTCTCTCAAAGTTAGAGAGTTTGAAATCTGTGGAGGTTAAATTTGCTTTACACGTCACGTTGATACTCCTCGCATGCCAAGTGCAGTTTATGCTGAACTCACTGTCCACACCTCGAGCCTCAACTCGCACGATGCGGTTTTCTCAGAAACCAAACATCTTCCATGCCCACGTAGTTAAAAATCATACCCAGGTTCTCAGCACTCTCTAAGTCCATCCATAAGCATAGCAGTAGTATTTATTTACAAATTTACTTTCAATCCTTTTGTTTAAGGAGATACAATTACAATGTAGCTATGAATAACCTCTTAACAGCACAGCAGCTACAGACATGGCGTTATTTCATATCCATTTCATATGCATTGACATTTTAACTGGAAACAGATTAATTTCTAGGTATCCAAGAGTTACTGTTACCAAACCTTTGGCTAGAATGCTCTTTAGAAAGGAATATGTCAGGTATTTCACCGCACTCATTACAAATCAATCCATTTCTGGACCAATTTTATTAACTCATCTCAATCTACAAGGATGCTAATAATTTTCTCCTGGATTAATTCATACACCTATGAGATGCAAAGGAGTTGTAAATTCAAGCTCGCCTTCTTCAGCTACCCTGAAGGACCCCAGCCTAACCTACGCAGCCGTTGAACACACAGCAGCAAAGTGCTAAACTTGACAAATATTCACGGATGAATTCAAGGAGATGTCATTTTATAGACCTGAAATTGGTCCTATCTTTTCTCAAGCCGAGTACTTTCTTTGGTCCAGCGTCTGCCTGTTTCATGTCAGCCCGTTATGCCAATACCACACAAGAAATGTAACACCCTTCTGCTAACAGAAATATTTAGATCTTTCATTCTAAAGCACTACATGGGGTATGGCTTTGCCAGAATTAACCAGGAAGCACAGGGTGAAAATTATTCTGGTCAACAGCATTCCACGCACAAAACCACAGCTAAAATTTGAGGAACAGATGACATCTATTCACCACAGATCTGTTTGGTGCTAAAATCACGTCAGCCACTAATGAGAAAGCACTACCTTCCTGTGCAGCTCTGACACAAGTTTTCCTGGGAGAAAGGGTTATCTGGCTCCTGTTGCTGAGATGTCTAATCAAAGAATTTGAAACAAGGCAGAAATGATGAGCAACTATTTGTGCAGCAGCAACTACTTCATTAGGATTTCTCCATAAGAAGAAGTAAAAATTAGAGCCTGATTCACTTCAAAATCACGCCAGCTGTTTAAAGAGTCTTAAAGAAAAAAGTGACCCTTGTTTTAGGAAACTGGTGATAACCAGGGCCCAATCCAGCAAGGTGTTCAGCATGCCAAACATCCGCGATTCTCATCGGCTGCAGGGGGATTTGACAGAGCTCACTAACAGGAGGCATTCGGCATCTCATTAGTTCAGGCCTTTATTTTGGGGAGACACAGGGCCCTCCATCACGCAGCCATGCTCAGCACTGCGCAAGGACACAGATTCTTTGAATGAGAAAAAGAAATCAAGCTGCTCCAGGTAGAAAACTGAAAACATTTTCCTCCTCTCAGGCCAGTTTGGTCCTTGTTATTTCACTGATCATGAAGAAAATAACTCACACAGTCTCTGTGCAGAGACAATACTGAAACGTTCACAAGAT